TGTGGCAACTTAAACCAATGAACTTTTGTGCAATGTTCTACGTTGAATCTATCTGCCTATCTGTCCAGTTAACTTTAATCTGTGATGATTCTGCGTAATTGTAGATGTTTCGTTTGAAGGGAATGTTTGTAGTTATTTTTGTGCAAATATATCTGACAATTGTAATCCACTACTGTCTGTCATCAATATGTATGACCTCAGAGTTCATTATAATGATTAATTTCAATCTGTGATATGCATTTAAAATTTTAAGGGAAAAAAGAATTAAGTGAAGACAAAACTTATACTCTATAGGATAGATAAGAGAATTATAAATAGGTAATTTAGGTTTTTAACCTATATATGTACACATAAATACGGGGCAGATAGGTTACGCACACACACACACATCCGCATTCTTACTAGAATGTCTAACAGAGGGTTATTATGGTTTCTCATCAAACAGTTAGCCATTTGTTTACACGTGGTGAGAATATGACTTAGTGATGGTGAAAATAATTGATTTTATGAGATTGATAAAAATGAACGAACTAGAAAGAGAAAGAAAGGGGGTGAAGGCGGTGGCGGATAAGGATAGGTGACTGGAAAGTTATACATACAGATACTGGATTCATTTTTCAAACTGAGGTCAAATTGCATAGTATTCATACGCAATGGTAAATAAGGCATCATCTACATTATTTCACCACAATTATTCTACATTGTAGAAGAAAGTTCATAAGTGTAAATAATAAAGATATTAATCATAGTCGTAGCAACATCAGAAACAACGACAATAGTAATTGAAACACGTCTCCTCCCCTGTCCCCTTAATTTCGCATTTTGTAGTTATCTCCTATGAAAATTTATTTTCTGCGGTCATTTCTTATGAAGTTCATCATATTCTATGTTTCTGTGTAAATCTATAGTCTGTTAATCATAATAATTTCACTTATTCTCATCATCTTATGTTCATTAAATCTAGTATGTGGTCCTCATATATATTAAAGTAGTATAGGGTGTCAGTATGTATGTATGCAATGTGTTTGTTGAACGGGGAATAGAGTTAACAGGAACAGCTGTTTTAGATATGTCACCTGAGGACATGCATACGGTGAATATCAATGTTTGTGATGATGATAACTATTGTTAAAGTCACAATTCAGTTATAAACCAATGAAAACTTTCGTTAAAAAGTTCGTAAATATATTTCATATTCCTATTGAAGTAAATTTTAATATAATCCCAACCTGATGAAATCTGACTCGGCGCTCAACTTTTTTCACGACACTGGTAATAACTATGACCTTGATGTTTAGAATACATCATATTAGTTGATAGATATTTGATGCAACATAATGAATATCAGGGGAGTATCAAGGCTTACATATAGGAGCCCGTTTGGCAACAGAGATCCAGAAATTCAACCCAGTATAGCAACGGGAAATTAAAAGTATCAATAAACAACAACTGATAATCATTTCACAAGTTAGTGGCACAAGCGAATAACACTTTAACGTTTGCAGTCATGAGTACTAGATTCCACCCCTGGTGAGAACAACATAACTCACTGGGATACAATAACATCTAACTGATGAATCTCAAACATGACGAAACGCCTATCCTGGATTCCGCTACTAGCCACTGTGTAAAGAACTTACAGTGTTGTGTCTAAACTTCAGTAACAGCATCATCATATACGTAGTTGTAGTTACGTCCAACTAGTGAACCTCAAAAAGAATGAAAATGTGATTGTCAATGGGAGTAGATATTTGTCCAGTTTGTTATTCATTACCCATTATATAACATATGGTCTTTTTGGTTGACTCTGTCCTATACGTCCGTCGAAAAGAACAACTTCTATTACCACTCTAAATTGCATAACTAGTCATTTTACTAGAGGTGGTTTTTATAACTGAGTATATTGTTGCACAGTTAATGGATTTTTGAAGTGATCACTATAGAGTTCAAGTCTGAATAAGAAGATGGTGTAGATTAGTCGTTTGATGAGTGCTATACATTTACTTCCTTTGACAAATTTGAATCATCCCAGAACAAGGATATTTGAAGAATAAAATGAGCTCATTTTATTTCATCGCCTTTCACCAAATACAAACAGACTACATCAATAGTAATAATAACATAACATACTTTAAACACACAGAAATAAATGCTAATTTGAAATCCAGGATTAACAATATAGTAGAGTAAGTCAAGGAAATACAGGAATAATAGTTACATATCTTAGTCAAAATCAATGGGAATTTATACATATCAGATGAGATGGAAAATTCGGGAGTTGTGGAGTGGTGGTGGTGGTGGTGGGGATGGGAGACAACAAAAGAAAATCAGTGTAAAAGAAGGAAGTGTTTAAGAGCTAATGGGTTACGTAATTGCATGAAAAACTTGAAGATTGTTAAGTGATTAATATTCAGTTAGTAATTGATGAAGAGATGATGCAATCAAGAAGAAAGGGAAGACTATATACATGTATATACAAACAATTATATACAGTTGCCAAGTCAAAGCTGGACTGAGAAGAAGCTTCCGTGCTACCAGACTGATCTCAGTTTACAATACATTACGCTCAATAAAACAGCTGAAAGTATGCAAATACTCATCTCACGTCACCTCCAACTGTATATATCAATTCACCTGTGCTTATGGAAACAAGCACATAGAACGGACTGAAAGAAGAGAGTCTACTCAATTTTATGAGCATATTCCGAGAAATCTGTGTCTGAATGATAGAAAGGTCTTTAAAAGCGCAATCGTCAGGGATCTTATGGAAACAAGACATCAAATAGATATTTCTCAATCTTTCAGGATAATCAACAAATGAAGAACATCATGTTTATTACGGTTTGCTGAAGATCTTGCTATCAAGTATTTACAGCTGACCTATGTACTCAGAAGGAGACTGTAATTGACTTTTCTTTACCTTGGTAACTGTATATAATTGTTTGCATATGCATGTATATAGTCTTCTTTTTCTCTTAATTGCATCATCTCTTCATCAATTACTAACTGAATACTAATCACTTAACAATCTTTCATGTAACTTTTCATGTAATTACGTAACCTATTAGCTCTTAAACACTTCCTTCTTTTACACTGATTTTCTTTTGTTGTCTCCCATCCCCACCACTACCACCACCACCACCACTCCACAACTCCCGAATTTTCCATCTCATCTGATATGTATAAATTCCCATTGATTTTGACTAAGATATGTAACTATTATTCCTGTATTTCCTTGACTTACTCTACTATATTGTTAATCCTGGATTTCAAATCAGCATTTATTTCTATGTGTTTAAAGTATGGTTATGTTATTATTACTATTGATGTAGTCTGTTTGTATCTGATGAAAGGCGATGAAATAAAATGAGCTCATTTTATTCTGCAAATATCCTTGTTCTGATATTGTTTAAACATCTGATGAGTGTAAAATTCAATAAGTCACCTGGGTTTATTTAGTCCCAATTACTTCATTATGAAAACTAAAAAATATAGCAGAAAAAGAATTTTGAGACTGAAAGTAAAGATGATTAACTCTGTCTAATCATTCCTGTGATAATTCATAATTTTATGTCTTTTTAGATAGCATAAGTATGAAATTAAATTTTAAAATAGGTGAAGAACAACCGAAGAAGTGTAATTCAGTGTCTAAAAGTATTCTATTTTATTGAACACTCATTTCCCAGTCAATAACTTTCAGGAATGAAATCCAATTCAATCTACTTTAACTTGAATGAAAACAGTTTTATTAATAAGTATTGTTTATAGCTAAGTAGACAGGACTTACATCAGATGCCTGAATTAAATTAATTAATAAACTAATGAAAATTACTTATTAGTATAATTCAATAACATTCACAAAATAGGTGTGAATTACTCTATCCTACACGAATTGGTACAAAGTTATTAGGTTCACGAATTGTTTGAAAGCTTTGTAGCGTGATGTCAGACATTTACTTAGTACTTCTTGATGTCTGTGAAAGTAGAACTAATGGGGACAAGCTTTTATTTTGAAAGATTTAATATTCCGCTCAATACTTCAAGAAGCCTTTTTTGGTTTTCAGTTTTACTGAGTACTGAGTGGTTGAGTGCATTGAACACTTCTCTTATGTTGGAAGTCGATCAGCCTTGATGGATTAGTGGTCGACGAAATCCCTTTATACATACAAAAGGCTCAGTTGGCGTTTACCAATTTATGCCATCTGTCCATGATATCCCACTGTCTTTTAAGGGTTCAGTGTACTGTGCTGCAGTCCATTCTGTTTTACTGTATGGCTGTGAAACATGGTCATTGAAAGTGAAAGATACGAGAGGGCTTCAGGGGTTTGACCACCATTGCCTTTGTAGCATAGGCCATATATCACAGAAGTCAGTCGTAGAGTCTGAGGGAGAAGTGTAAAGTCAGCTGATAAGGCTGTGAAACTTCATTGACTGAAATAGCTGGGACATGTGTTACGTATATCTAACCACTGTCTACCTCGTCACACAATATTGGCCGATTTTGGTTCAGACTGAGAGAAGGCTGAGTGCGGCTAGACTAAAACATGGCATCAATGCATGCAGTCCTTTTTTGTTCCTTTGAGCCATACAGGGGGATTTAGACCAGACGGTTGGGGTCCCTTGGAGAAGAGAAATCAGTGGTTGCAGACTTAGGCTGATATGGCTCAGAACCGATGTCAGTGAAGGAGATGAATACACACATTATCCTCACACTAACCACTATACTTAATCTCATTATTTCATTCTTTCATCTTCTCTTTTACTACTTTCTACTCTCTTTGATCGATTTTTCTTTCCTTCTTCACCTTCCATTTTATTGCCTTGTTACTTGTTGTGCTGGTATGAAGTGTGACAACTTGAACCGTTACTCAGTAATACCTAGTTGTATTTATCTGTTACTTCTAGTTTTCGAAAACCACTTTCTTTTTTATGTTTTGTTAAACAAAGTGAAATTTTATTGAGATTAATCATCATTCTTTATTCCCTTTCTTCATATTTAGATCGGTGGAAATATTTCAATGAATCCTAAATCTCTTCATCATGAATATAAATCAGTAAAAAGTTTAGATAATCCTAATTTATCATCTCATTGTTCAGATAATGATTCTAATCTTGATGAAGAAGATGTAGAGGATGTTGATGATGATGAGATGATGATGATGATGATACCTATCTAACTAGGCAAGATAGTCTTTCACATCATTATCCAACATCTGCTCTGTCTAGTTTAACTTCAGATACACTTGGAGGTTGTATATCTCCAATGTTAGCTGCTGCTGCTATGGCTGCCTTAACTAGTGGTTGTTTTCCAACATCTTGTAATCTTCCTAATCAATTGAATCCACTACTGTCTCAATCTTACGGACTGTCATCATATTCACCAAATTTAAACTTGATCAACAATTCACAGCGTGTACAGTTAGCTAAACAACAGCAATCATTTATACCTTCATCATTGAACAGAAATTCAAAAATGAACAATCCTCCTCCTCATCATCATCATCAACAGCAAAATAATACATCAACTACGAATACCAATATGAGTAATTTCCTTTCGACGAGTTGTAATTCGTCGGATTCACCAATGCGTTTAACACATAACAGTAATAAGTTTGTTCAAGATGAACTCTTAGATCCTGATTACAATACTACTACCACTACTACTACTACTAGTATTACTACTACTAATAATAACTGTGATATGAATACAAGTCATACATCACCGCCTATATTGTCTCGATCGAATAGTCCACATCAATCGAATCGATTGATATCATCGAATGATATGGCATACATGTCTATGGATGATGCTGATGAAGAGAATGATGATGAGGAAAGTGAAGAAGTTGAAGATATTGAAGTTGAAAATCCAAATCAAGGTGGTAATCATCAATGGACATTTGAAGAACAATTTAAACAAGTAAATTTAGTTTTCCAATTTCATTTTACATTTACAGAGTTGTATAACTGTTTAAGTGTTTCCCTGAATCCATAGCTCCTCAGGTGAATGTTTCAGTATCTTAGGGTTTTAATGTTCACAATGAAGGTTAAATACAGTTTGGTATATTGAAAAAACGATGCGTTAGGTGTTGATAAGAGAACCTATTTACCACTTACTAGTAAAGCGTGCATTTAAACTACCGTCCTATCAAGGATCCCTTCACAGTGAGTCATGAAAATTATACTAAGTTATAATAATGAAGCGTATGTAAGTCCCAGTAAGAGACCATAACAAACACCCACTGTGGGAGTGAAAGTTATAGCGATGAGATGTAGTCTAGAAGTTGAACCTAGAAAATGAATGATGCGTTATACTTCTATTCCTGCCTCCAGTGCAAAAGTACTGTCTAATAACTGACTGAGTATACCTGAGGAAGTTAGAGGCTAAGTATTATGTGTGAAGCTGGTAGCAAATTACATCCGAGGGGGTGGTAACTGCTCATTACACATCAGTGTGAGCATAAGCTAGCTGGATCCCAATTCTTACACTAAAATGCAACGATCATCATCTAGCCTGTAGGTACTCTGTTGCAGGGGTTCAAGTAGAAGAATGTATGTTGAACGGTAGCCAAGAGAATGTAGTCTTATGAATCTACTATTCGAAACTAAAATGTTGTTTAAATGTCAGGTGTTATAGACAGATGAACCCTCTCTTTCATTTCATCCTGGTTATTCTCTCATATTTATATCAAGCCCTGGGATATTTTAAAAGTGAACAATTTTTCTCTAAGCTTATCTATTCAAAGAACTTGACTTACAAACTATGGTATTCATTTAAATTTTTACTCAGTTTATTGGTAATTAGATTAGTTATCAGTTTGACTGTCTGAGATAGTTGTGGTTTGGCAGATCTATATGATGATGGACTACCAGGATTATTATTTGTCGCTTAGGTTCCTAGTTGAATATAGGGCTTCAGTTGTACGTCCCCATTTCACTCTGTTCTCTGCAGTCTTTTGAGTCTTGCTCCATGACTGCCCACTGGTTTAGATTAGTTCTCAAAAAACGGATATAATTGTTAACTTATATCACCAGTTATCAAGTATCGTTCACTAAATCGAACCAAAGTGATTTTTTTTGGAGTCAAATTATCCTGATATTTTGTTTATTATCCTTCTATTATGATTTCCTCGGTTATGCTTGATAGTAGAATAAGAATACATGTTTCCGCCTAATTCAAACCTGTCGGCTAGACATGCTTATATTCGATAAAAATGTGATATTCTCATAGGATTTAAGTTTCAATTAGGACGCTATGGATGAAGGCAGCTTATCAAGGAAAAAAATTACGCACTATTATCCCTTATGTCAGATACTACGGCTAATCTATGTGTGTATAGACACTTTTCAGTTAGGATGACTGTAAAATAACCTACAAATTTTAGACTTATTGATCAATAGAGAAAAATAAAATGCAAAAGAGAAAAAATATTTATTAATATTTTTAATGTCAGCACCCTTTTCCCCCTTCCTTTCCCTTGTGTAATGTAAATCCAATACCGTTATAATATGTTCATCAAGAAATTACTATAGTCCATAATAAGAATAATAGGAGTACTATTTCTGATAATATTTTACGCTTTCAACTATCTGCATTATTAATATTGTATCTTGTGAGTTTCATTAAATTATTTTTTATATTTTTGTTCCAGAATAAAAATACCTTTCATCTAGTAGTATAATTAACTCAAAATCTGTCTTTATACATTATAATATGTTTTAATATATATATCTATATGCATACTTGAAAACATAGGCAATATGTATGCAGGTATATACATACATATAGGCAGTTTTAAAGAAATTGGTGTACTCAACCGTTTTATGACTAGGTATACTTCTCCTTTTGTCGCTTCATTGTCTCGTGTCGCTTGTATTCCCTGTCTATAATGCACACATACATATATACACAAGATGATATTACGCCTATATACACACACAAAGCATTTTTAAGACCATACATATGTGGTTATGAATCGAATCCCTTAGGAGAGAATTCACTGTTGCAACATATCCTTACATATACATGCTACTGCTACTTCTAGTATAAGTAGTATGCATATAAATCTCAAGGGACTATTCAATTTATTGCTGTGCTATCATAGATTCATGAGTACTAGATAAATAATTTATCGTGAACCCATAAAGTACGTTTAATTATATGCCAATAATAATAGTAATAATGATTGAAGTTGATTTCTGTTCAATATGGTCAGAAAGTTTTTAATTATTTTCATCATAAACTGATATTATTAAGGTAACTATTTCTGATAATGAAGGATATAATGATGGTTGGTTGGATGCAATCAGTTGGAAATCCTCGTCATGTTTGTCCCCAGTCATCAGCAGGGCTTACCTGCAACCTGGAAGAAAGTGATTTCCCCTTATGAGATTGGAACTCACGTCATCCAATATTGTAGTCATCGACGTTACCATTGACTATTTAGGTCGCTCCTTCCTTTCTGTGTGTCTTATTACTTGTGCCTATCGAATATATCGTTAGTTTTACCTAAGAATTTTGGAAACCATGATTAAACACATTAGCTTCTGCATAAATAAGATTGATTCCGATGGTAAACAGTTTTGTATAATATTCGTGGAACTTTTCGGTTCCTCATCGGACTGTAGAATTCCCTATCCAGGTATATCATATGACTTAATACTTCCCTTATTTTCGCGTTCATATTGCAATAAAAGTTCCCGTTCTCATGTTGTATTTATGCTATTACTGTTATCGGTAAGCGGTCAGTTTGCTCAATGACGGTACAGGCTGATTCCGTCCACTTTAGAAACGTATTACTTGGGATTGGGTGACTAATTGTTGTAGCATAACAAGCAAGGACTGAATATTTTTTTCTAATCTTTTACACAAAGTTAGATTTATCGATCAGCCGCTGGTAGGTTTTCGTCTAACCTGTGCGTACTTTGTTGAATGGGAGGGACGTAAACTAGTGTAGGGTGGGAGTCGACTCAGTCACAATGGAAACTGACTACTCAGCAAGCACACGGGATATACTTACATTCGATAATAAAAGGTGATCTACAAACGGTAGTGATTGACGGTGAAAATAGAAACTGGGAAATGGATGAGTAAGGTTTCAGATGCGTTACACTTCGGACTATTAGATAGGATCATCACATTCACTTGTGTGTGCTGTATACTTATGGAATGAGGGTGTACGATGTCACAAGTTGCCCATGTCGAAATGAAAGGTTGGTCCGAGCCTTTGATTTATTAGTCAGTAGCTAGGGCATCTAACTAGCAGTCCTAGTGATCACTCTTAATCCATTCAATGATGAGATTAAAACCTTTCAATCGAACATGTACCTGAGTGGTTAGTTTCCAAAACGATAGGTTGGGCTCAGGTTATATATGATACCTTATGAAAAAATATATCTTACGTCTGACAGACATGTAATTAATGCATGGACAATTATTGAAGCTGAAGGAATAAAGTCGGCCATGATCGATTCTTACTTAATTTGGGGGTTTGTGGGAACTTAGTGATCTTTCAAGTTGGTATTCATTATGAAGCATTGGATAACTGTTTACTTCCAGTATTTGGCTCCATAGTAGTGCGCACCCATGACCTTGCCCCACCCATCCAATGATTGAATCCAGGACTTTCATGTTCCGTGGTCAGTACGTTACCATTGACCTAGAGAGTGGGAATCCAGTGATCCATATTTCCAACTTGTATCAGTTCACGATATAACGCGACCATCAACCGTTGTCGTCGCAGAGTATTTGTCCTCACAGCCATCTTGTTTGCCTCACCGTTCACAACTTTCCATTGGGACTTCAGGAATCACCTTTCAAAGCTAATTACTAATGAACAAACTTGGTGGCTGTGAGGACAAATACTCAACAACGAGAGTGGGTGATGGTTACGCTAAGTCGTGAACTGTCAGGAGTTGGAAATATGAACTATTGGGTTCTGACCTAGTGGCCATGGAACCTGAAGGTCATGGATTTAATCTCTGGTGAGCGGGGTGGTGGGTGCGTACTTCTGATGAGTCCCATCCTAGAATGAAGCAGCTCTCCAGTGCTCCCGGGTTTCTAATATTCCTCCATCTGTTGACAGTCCATAATGAATACCAACTTGAACAATTCAAATTTGCTTAGCTTACGTTTAGTTGGACTGATCTTAAGAAATGAACGCATCGGTTACTTACACTCAATGAATCGGTCTGCTTGACAGTATGACGTCTTCGATGTTTATCACTATGGTATACCTCCTCAGGCAATAGGCTAAATATGCTTCACAAAATACTTACGACTACAGAAGGTGATATTTTTCGCTCAAAGTCATTCTATCTTGCTGCGCACATTCGCCTATTATCATTTGACTATCTAAGATAGCTCCATGGTATGACAGATTAGTACTGATAGTGGGTGGTGATTGAATGTGAAATGAAAATTTGAACCGCGACGGGATTCGAACCAGCGACCACCGGGATTTTGACCTGACGTACTATCGACTAGACTACGAGGTCTGACTTCTGAACAGATTTCTATCGTACTTCAACTGTCTATTCTCGGTCGACAGGTACTGAGAGAACAATGATAAGATAAAATATGAAAATTATTATCTGAGCAAAACAGGACTTAGAGATCCTTGAACTAATGGCTACAAGATGGGTGACAACTACACTTTTGATACCACTTGTCTTGTAAATAAAAATATATAGTTAATGCTTCATAAACAACGCGGTAAAATACTATCGTAACCCAAACAGATATGTTTTCAACTTGTCTAGATTGTATGGATCGGCAGTGAAAACATCCTCACCTTTCAACTTTGTTGACTTCACACATGAAGACTTTTCATTGCTACTTTGAGTGCCCATGATTCAGTTATTCACATTCTAAGCGGTTAATTACTTCCTAAACTGTACTCATCAAAGACAGGTGTCATTTTATCAGTGCCAAATTAGGACGAAGTAGTCCTTCATTTCTCCTTCATCCTTAGAGGGTTCTCCATTTCATATTAATCCACTGGGGACAAATCAACCAGTTGTCTACAAACCACCCAAACGAATTTTATGCACTTTTTTATTGTTTAGTTAAATCTGTCTGTCATTATGATTTTTTCTAATGAGGCGCCCAATTAATTATCCAAATTATTAATAACGACAGAACTATTACTATTATTTCGGTGACAGATACTAGTTGTTTCGTCTTTTTAATTTCATATCAAGTCGAAGACAGTTACAAGTTATATTTCTGTCCTGTCATTCACTTAATCCGCTTCTTTTTCTTCGAAAATAAAATGTGTGATTGCGTAATACATGAAAGGAAGTCTTTGACAGTCAAGATCTTATGATAGCTATGGAAAAGATAAAGGTTTAAAATACCTTTTAAAGAACATGTGACGTTGGTTTGAACTTATGAATGACTAGTGCTTCATTTATACCCGAATGCCTTGATCTTACTCCATTCGAGTGGTTTGGTCGAACCCTGTTGAGGATTTTGAATTTCTCAAAATGAGCTCAGTGGCGCGAGTTCATAAGGTGTTCTGTTACCCCTTTCCAAACCAGGTTAGGTAGCGTTCGCGAGCATGTTAGACAAAGAGGACGCATGTTAAGATCGATTTACTCAGCTACACATAAGCAAGTTAACTGGAATACACACATTCATGTGGCCCAATGTGTCTTACATTTCACAAAATGTTTCTTACAGAAGAAAATGGTTCGAAGGTTAGCGGCGAAGTATGTTTTACGAAAGGATCTTGACAGTAGTTTTTCGATGACGTCTGCAGCTATGTCATATTTGAATTGAAGATTCACAGTCGAATTTTCAATTGGATTCTTTGGTTTTATGTTCTTATCTATGAATCTCCAGGTGGAAAACGGGTTTCTACTAAAGTTCATCGAAGATTTTGAGGTTCGCCATCAACTGTGGCCTTAATACATATTTTTCTGACCCTCGAAGAAAGTGAATGGATAAGATTTCTCTTCCTACTTAGAGTAACAGAACTTTGAAAATTAAAAAAATATCTGTTCCACGATTCGACTTAAAAGAACAATAAGTTCTTATTAAATTGTTGCTGTTTGGTTCAACTAAGATCATGTTGCCAATTTTATGGATAGCGTAGTTCACTGTGATTACGAAGCCAAACAAAAATGAAGTGGTGATATAAACTGTCGGAAGACAACCAAGAATAACTACTGACCTATAGATCACTTCCAGTTCCTTCCAGAGAACTGGTGATAGATTAATGCTGACCGCTTGATCTGTCTAACGAAGTTTTGTATGAGGTCAGTTGTGGATAGAATAGTTTTGTGGTAAGATGTTTACCTTGTAGGCGTCGGTAACATGGATTGAGTTGCATGAAGTGACAGTATTTTCCTTTCAGTTCTAGATACGTCTTTCTGACCAGTCCCAACAAATAAGAAATTCACCTTAAACAAAATAATCAGTTTGCAAATGATTTACAGTTTTTCAACTGCTCAGTTATTGTGTCAGCAGAGTTTCCAATGAAAACCACTCGTCAACCAATATCACAAGGTGCCATGAATTAGTGGAAGATACTACTACTACTACTACTACTACTACTACTACTACTACTACTACTACTACTACTACTACTACTACTACTACTACTACTACTACTACTACTACTACTACTACTAATACTAATACTAATACTAATACTACTAATACTAATACTACTACCGAACAACTTGAGTAGTCAGGCTGATCTGGAGTATTTGGCAATCGAAACACCGTGATCTAAACATCAGATGTTCGTTTCGCTAGTTTATGCCCGAGCTTATCAGCGGTACAGCCAGAGAGTTTCACTTCATACAAGCGAATTAGTTCAGATCAGCTGAATTCATCTACAAGACTTTGTACAAACAACCTACTATGTACTTATTTCACAAGCGTTTGTCATTACTTCCTTACTGGTCAGAATATACAGTGTGCCTTAAACTGAAATCAATTGAAAATATTATTTTGAACACAAAAATTACAGTTTGAAATCTTGATAAAGTAGTTTAGTCGGTGGGTATAAGTGATGTAAATGCGATCTTACAAACTACTACTGAAGAACTTTATAAATTACTGTACTGATGTTAACTCATTGTTCAAAGACAAGCTTAGAGAAGTTGCATACGCTTACATTTCAAACACCTAATCTTTTGGAACCTATATGTAAATAAATATGTGTTGTATTGAAGAACATTTGTATCAACAGGGCCCATCACCCGTAGTATGCAGTTGTTTAAGTACAAGAGTAGAGTAATCTAAAGGTTTTGTAGGTAAACAGCTTTTTAGCATTTCAGATCATAACTGTGCGAAGTAACTGATAGGTTTTATTGGTTTATCTTCTCTCTGTTGAAAAGATAGTAAATATACATTTAACTTCAAGATGGTTCATCTTCTGATGAAGTGTAATTCACCTGGTATGTATCGATTTATGAATTAGGTCATAAGCCATGTGTTTTGATCAGAGGGTAATGATACGATCGGTGTACAATGAAGAGTGAAGTTCGAAATTGTTTCTGATTGGTTAAATGTTCAGCATATAGTCAAGATTCGAATAAATGATGTAGTCAGTAGATTACAGATTCCATAGCTTTCCTTTCTTTGAGAGAATTTATCCAGTTGTTAACCTGTTTCCAGTTACACTTCAGTGATGGAGTATCATGCTTATGGAGAGTTGATACAATAAACACTCACCTGGATCCTTCTTTTTATCACACATATAGCATGCATATATATATATATATATATATATATATATATATATATATATATATATATATAATACATAAGAATCCTAATCCTTCCATAATCTAGGCTAACTGCTCGACGTGATCATCATCGCTGTTTGTTGAGCATAAGCATCTCAGATAGTACGATTGACTAATTCGTTGGCTGATTTGTGATAGGAGGGGAACAGCTGAGATGGTTACAGAAGGATGTAGGAAATTTGATTACGATACGTCATTGAAATCAAATGAAATATACTTAATGGTTTTATCAAGTATTTATTGTAAAAGATGATTAAAGTAAGTCACATCACACTGATCAAAGCTCTTTCAGTCTTCAGGGGTGATCAACTTTAATTTACACTGAGCTTTCACAGTAATCTTCGCAGCTATTTCTATCATAAATCTTGCTTTCAGATTAACTTCCTGCTATTCTGGTGAAGTCACAACTTGTCCTGTCAGTCAGCTTGGTCGTAAAGATAAGTAATCACCATTGGCATTACATGATGAATTTTTAGGTTTTGGAAAAAGTAGATTATTGGATCTCGATCCATATGATTGAATGGTTACGTATTCATCGCAAGACTCAATGATTTTGAATATTCACCACTGAATAGACCTAGACTACAGTAAAATAATTGTCCAATGTTTTAAAGGTTCACTGGTTATTACCATTTCGTGATCACTAAATCAGTTCCCCTAACAAACCACCAAAATGAACAACTTTTATGCAGTAAAATAATAACTCTTATCCATAATTATAATTAAACTTTTGTTTGCTTATTTCCCTATAAATTTCAGTTATATGTCATATCAGATGATCCAAAACGGAAAGAATTTCTAGATGAACTTTTTGTTTATATGCAAAGAAGAGGTGAGTACTGTTTTCTTTGAAAATTTAAAATATCTCCTTGTTATTATGATTGATCTCTTGTGGTAATGTAAACTAAACCTAATCCAATTTTATATTTGTACTCCAGATGGTAATGGGTTGAATATTCTCCGACTTCAGTGTTATCTTAACGTTGGTGTATATATATCGTGACAGTATCAACTGTTTTGCATATACATCTCATCAAAAAGTGATACTGACTCCTGAATCATTGAAAACTGAGGAACTTTGAAAGGCCATTTCTACTTCGTTTGAAATATCTCAGCAAACTGATTATACATCATGAAATTGAACTCAAGATAGTTAGATCTTCAGGTAAACTAGTAGAATGGAACTCCTTGGGGGTGGTATTTAGGATTACAAGATGGGTTGATGTCAATTTACAATGATAACTGCCGTCAAATTATTCATTTCTCTTACAAACTCCTCTTGCAAAGAAGAAGGTTTACAGACTACTACAATCCCGTCTTTCAGTAGTATATATATATTGCACAACTTGACACTATCATTTCTTAACATGATACATGATAACTAAGGTAGATATCGCATGTTGCAAACATTAATATCAAAGGTAAATCCCAGTGGAATGAAACACACACACTTCTTGGTTGATTATCAGAGATGGAGAACTTTTTCGATGCAGAATAATCCTTTAGTGACAAGTAATTTCTAGTTCGTGAGTGATACCTCACTCTATCTTAATGTTGGATCTCGTGATCGGCCATCGACTTGACTCTGTAAGAAGTTAAATATACAAGCTAATAAACAGTTCTAAGAAAGGATGAAATAGCTGTTGAGTGTATCATTGTATTTTAAAAGTGGTTTATTGTTGTAATATTAACCAGTGTATTCATTCACCTCCCTCCTCCACCAAAAAACAGATTGTCGAATTTAATAATCTGTTTTTAAGATAAATAAGGACTGACATCACTTGGGGAACCTGGGTGCACTGAACACCTATTTCGACGTAGTATGGGACTCCTCAGCAGCATGCACCCACAACCCAACTAGGGATCGAACCCGGGACATTCAGATTTCATGGCGAACACGTTAATCATTCAGCCACTGGATTGAAGTTAAGTGATTCATAGTTTCCAACTTCTGTTAATTTTCAATATATCTGAACTATCATCCAAGGTCTCTAGCTGGTATCCTCTTCCCTTCCGACTGGTTGACCCCATAAGTTATAGCTTCTCTTTAGAACTTCGTGATATCCATTCGGAATTGATCTGATAGTAGGGTCATAGGTATGTACTGCTGCAAAGTCCTATACTAATGGTTCCCTAACCGATGTCAGTCCGTGCTAAATACTACCTACGAATCTGTTTTTGGCTTTTTTTCTTGTCTCATGATTAACACATATGTGATTATTAAAAAGACAAATCAAGCCAACTTTAGTTCAAACAAAATCAGCTTATAAACTAATTTAGAGTAACGTATGGTTTATTGAACCCATTTGATCACTAGTGGTGGTGGAGGAAAACAGGTGATTTTGTTGAAAACTTCAACAGTCTTCTACAAAAATATCATTTTTAATGTGTATAAGTTATCAGTAGGATATTCGTTCGCTTTATTTTTTTCATTAGCGAAACTGTGGTCTATTTTATTATTTTATCATTATTGCTATTTTTGTAATGTTGATTAGAATTTATGCTTACTTTTATTAAGATCAGTATTGTTGGATGTACAAATGTATTTGTTGATAATCCAGAGAAGAGAAGAAAAAAGAAGAGGCAAACTTCCATTTTATACGTACATGTACCCACGTGTCTACAGGCATGTTTCGGTGTACATTATAATGCTTAGTTGAATGATTGATTCGTACATCAACTGGTTGAAGGAATAAATAAAGATAAAAATCTGTATTCTATAAAAAATAATATACAATACAAAAGAAACCAAATTATAAAAATTTGTCACAGACCTAACCCAGCGGGATTCTCCTTAAATTAGACCAGAAAAAAAGAAGTTTATTGCATGTCTGTTTAGGGTTAAGAGTATGGATGAAATGATTTTGTTGTTTAAAAACTAATAATAATAATAATAATAATAATAATAATAATAATGTGTCGTCAAATATACACCCAACACATTAATTTTAATAAATTACAGACGTTCACAATCGACAGTAAGAAAATAATCGTATCTTCCGCGTCTTTTTATTTAAAAAATTGACTTAATTAAACAAAAAGTTGTTCTCTTTTCAACAGTTGACTTTCCTGCATACACAAAAATCATAACACACACACACACACACTTAAATCCAGAACATTTCAAGCTAATCCTGAGATTTCTACCTGTCATACAGAGACATATACTGATGAGGAGAATTATAAGAGACATTTCATCGAAACGGGGAAAGTGATTTTTATCCTAACTATCCGTACAATTCTCGTAGGTAGATTAACCTTTTCAGACACAGCTGTGCTTGAAAATTACTATTTATTTATATTTTTTGTGCTCTCTACTACTGATCAATTGGTAATTGAGATTTTTCACTCTGTTTATTCGACCATAAGCTTAAGATTTTAATTTTTGATAACTATATTGTGCTTAACTAGTTTGTGCAGTTGTAGTTTGATGTTCTATCAATTCCTGTGGTTTTTCTTATTTTCTTAGACAATGTGTATGTGCTTACAAATTAAAACATTTGTGCATTTTATTTCAAACTTCTAAGTGAGGATTGGCAGTGAATTAGGTGTATGTGTCAGAGGGGGTGCAAAGTAGTTAGATGAATGAGGGAGATAGATATGGGGGCAAAGGGATGGGGTGGGGGTTAGCATCCAGGTTGTTTGCGCTGTTTAATGGTAAAATAAGAGACAAAAATGATTCTTCCTGAAGAAATCTTCATCTCTTATTCTTCGATTTCATGTCTCCAAATTTAGGCGGGAGAGATGATCAATGCTGATATATTATTTGTGGTGTAGTAATAAAAATAATGAAGATGATGAATGTGAATTTGGTTTTGTTGTTTTATTGATAACAACACCCCACCCACCCACTTCACCCAACACACAGATGAATAAATAAATACTAGTACCTTTGGTTTTTGCAATCATCATTGATAAAGATAAGCATGTTGACACATACGCAAACATGCACATGTAAAAGAAGTCTAACTTATACAAGGGACCGATAAGCTACCGACAACAGTTGATGCCACATGATGGTAGGATTATGTGTCTTGGAGAGGAGAAAAAAATTTGCGGTAACTTGTTCAAGCATAAAAAAGACAGGCTAGTAATACACTCCATCATACCCCACCCCACCCCACTTCACCCCACACTCCACTCCCAAGTGATGTACAATTTATGCCTACAAGATTGAATAAATAACAAATGAATATACGCTTGGTTCTGACTATTTATGCACAGTAAACAATTTTTTCATCATGACAAAATGATCTTAGTAGTGATCTTCTAAAATTTGGAGAAAAATAAGATATAAAATTCTTATTAGACAGTGTAAAGGAAGATAAGCAAATCACTATGTACAGCCTACACTGTCTGTGTGTGTGTGTGTGTGTATCGAATCGTATTTGAGTGCAGAGGATCATGATTCTGTTCATTTTTCTCTTATAATCTATATCTTTCTCTTTCTATGCACTAAAATTTTTATCAATAAACTTCTTTGTTTGTTGAACAGCTGTGTTTATATGCATCATTGGGTGCATGCGTGCACATATGTGCGTGCGTAGCACCACACATTTTAAATTAACTTGTCATAAAGCAAAATTTTGTCTAAAATTTATCAAATTAATTACTTCAGAAATGTATAAATTAATCACAAGAATCGATTACTTCCTGAATTCACATTTTTCATGGTTTTACAGAAAGTTGCGAAAAGTATGATGGTGAATATATATAATGGTGATTACAGTTCCTGATATTGGACCTATTGAATGCTATGAATTAAATGGCGGGAAAACCGGTTTATCTTTATTTATACTTGAAATATGGAAAATTGATTTCTTTCTGTAGTTGACAGTTAGTTTTAGTAATAATATTGAAAATGTACCAAAATTTCATCATATTCAGAACAAATAAGATCTTGTTGACAGAGTTCTTGCTGATTATATGCATTAAATTAATGATACTGGGTGATGATTGAAGGTGAAATGCAAATTTAGACCACGGCGTAATTCGAGCCAGCGACCACCGAGTTACCAACTCAGTGCTCTACCAAGTGCGCGACGAGGTAGAGCCGGTAACCCGGTGACGCTGGTTCGAATCCCACCACGATTAAAATCTTCACTTCACCTTCGATCATCACCTACTATTAATAACATAAGTCTACCAAACCGAAGAAATTTCAGACTCTTTATAAGAAGTATCAGTTATGTACAAAGTAGAAAAACTGAACCAGTTTGAGCAATAGTAGTTGCAGCAATGCGGCTCGTACTAATAGTGCTAATGTCATACATTACTTTATTATTTTTATCCCTTGGGTTCCTAGTGGAACACAGGGCTTCAGTAGCATGTCTACATTCCATTCTGTTCTCTGCAATCTTTTGAACCTGGCTCTATGACTGTCCAGAAGCTCTCATTTCTTCCTCACACAACCTATCCATGTCACCCTCGCCTCGGACGCCCAACTTGCCGTTCCCCATCTAGGTTCTACTCGAATGCCTGGCCTGGAGCGTGGTGTCCCCGAATGATCTTCTCACTGTATGCCCAATCCAATCCATCTCCACTTTCTTCTGGACATTTGTTGAGTGATAAGTTCTTGGTTAGTTCGTTGCCAGAGTTCCTTGTTGCTTATTCTTTCAGGCAATCCATCTGAGCTTCAGTAACAAGCCAGCATAGGCAGTTGTTGATGATGATTGATGGTTGTTGATGTGGTTAAATCACCGACCAGGCCGCCACTGTTGTCATGCACCTGTCAGCATCTATTAAAATGAACTACTTTTGAATGATAAATATAAAATGTTCCTAGTCATACTAGAAAATTCAACCCAGGTCTCTTATCCAGCAACTGATCGG